TTCGAGTGGAAAAGCGACCATGAGGAAGTGCGAAAAAAATTATCAAAATTTTAACTGATAAGCCGGTGCTTTTCATTTTTGACCCGAAATATCCCCTCGAATTGCACACTGACGCGAGCATGGATGGCTACGGTGCAATACTACTTCATAAAATCGACAATAAAACTAGGGTCATTGAATATTTCAGTAAACAAACATCTGCAACTGAATCACGTTACCACTCTTACGAGTTAGAAACACTAGCCGTGTTTAACGCTATGAAACATTTCCGACACTATTTACACGGCCGGCATTTTGTTGTATTTACGGATTGTAATTCTCTGCAAGCTACGCGAAATAAAATAAGCCTTACACCAAGAGTACAACGTTGGTGGGCCTATATGCAAATGTTTGATTTCGATATAAAATATGTACCTGGTGCAAAAATGGCCCACGTAGATTTTTTATCACGCAACCCGATGCCATCGAAGGTAATTACTAAATTGTATCCCAGTCCTGAAAACAAATGTGTTTCGTTGGCCGAAATATCGGACAATTGGTTGCTGGCTGAGCAGCAACGAGATGAAGAAACTTTATCCATTATTTCAAGAATTCAAAATGAAGAACTGGGAGAAGATTTGGCCAAAACATATGAATTGCGTTCTAAAATACTTTTCCGTATAATTCAAAGAAATGGTAGGACGCGCAGCCTTCCAGTAGTGCCCAGATCATTTAGGTGGTCGGTAGTAAACCACGTCCATGAGGCAATAGTTCATCTAGGGTGGGAAAAGACATTGGACAAGATGTATGAGTTCTACTGGTTCGACAATATGTCTAAATATGTCCGAAAATTTGTAAGTAATTGTATCACCTGTAAATTAACAAAACCACCCTCGGGTAAATTACCAATTGAACTCCACCCTATACCGAAAGTAGATATTCCATGGCACACTGTTCACATAGATATAACAGGAAAATTAAGTGGCAAAAGGGATCAAAAGGAGTATATTATAGTCCAGGTTGATGCCTTTACTAAATTTGTTTATTTGCACCATACCATAAATATTACCAGTGAAAGTTGTGTTGAAGCAGTGAAATCGTCCATATCTATGTTTGGCATACCAGCAAGAATCATAGCAGATCAGGGAAGGAGTTTTACCGGAGCAGTCTTTGGAGACTTTTGTAACATGCAAAAAATACAATTACATTTAATTGCAACGGGAGCCAGCCGTGCAAACGGCCAAGTAGAACGAGTAATGAGCACCCTGAAGGGTATGCTGACTGCCGTAGAAAGTAGTCAGCGTACTTGGCAGGACGCTTTAGGCGAGATACAATTGGCCATAAACTGTACTGTAAATCGAATTACGAAAGCAAGTCCTCTAGAACTATTAATTGGAAAAGAAGCGAGACCTTTTAATATGTTACCCCTCTGTGAAGGAAATAACAAAGTAGATTTAAGCACTGTAAGAAATAAAGCCAAAGAAAATATGGAAAATAATGCTAAATATGAAAAGAAAAGATTTAATAAAAACAAATGTAAAGTTAAAAGTTTTAAAATTGGTGATTATGTTTTGCTTAAAAACGAAGAGAGGCATCAGACCAAATTAGATAATAAGTTTAAAGGCCCATTCTTAGTGTCAGAGTTACTTGAAGGCGACCGCTATGTTCTAAAATCACTAACTAATAAACGAACGTATAAATACGCGCACGAAGCTTTAAGAAAAATGCCTATTGAAGAGATTCCCAGAGAGTTAGATGTATGTAATGAGAGAATAGAAAATGATGATAGCTTATTGGTGGATTCCAATGAAGCAAGCGACGTGGAAGGCGACGTCGCGAGTCAGTTAGAGGATTCTAACTAAGATGTGGCATTGATGGACTTCAATGCGAGATTCTGTACAATCATACACCTAGATCAACTCTAGCCACTAGGTTGCTGTAGGTGCATACATGATCATGTATTCACCTGGCTATGGTGAGGCGCCTAATTAGTGGTGGAAACCTGATTGGTGTGTTTGTGGTAGATGGTATTCAAATCTTTGGGAATCGATTTCTAGTAAAGGCTCTTCGCAAACGAATAATCTAATTAACTAGTAACTATTGAAAAAAGTAACAACGAGCGACGTATTAATACGTTTTATTATTTTTTTATGATCGTTTCAGATTGAACGATACCTTCTAATTACTCTTAGTATTTTCATTAAAATTTGTAACACACGAGGACGTGTGGATATCAGGATGGCCGTGTCGGATCTTTAGTTTTGTTTTCGTGGTATTACGCTCTTAAAATAAGAATTAACATGAAATGCTGTATTACTTGGAATTACATTTTTACTTAGAATTAAAGCTTATGTTATGAATGCCACTCGTTGCTTTTTGTTCCTCCCTTCGCATTCCTTTCTTTATACGAGTTTCTGTGTGTTAGTGTTGCGTTGAGCCTAACGGAGGTCCGTTATGTGCAGTCTCGCTGTGACATGGTGCGAGTAAAAGAGACGGCCATATGGTATTTGGTAAAGTATGTGAACAAGGGGATGTTGACCAATTTGGGCTGTATAAAAGGGAGCTCTGATTGATAGATCGGGTAGTCTCGATCGAGGTACGGTACTAAAAGGTCACGAAATGTCACAGCCGAGAAAGCGCACGGCTCGCAACGCCCTAGAAATCATCGAGGAACTCGATGTTCCGACATATGTATTCGAATTAATAGAACTCAGTCCACTGAGATGAGAACAGGGTATATCGCAGTCGTGTCACTTAAAACACCGACTGCTCTTCAGTGGTTGAGAAAATTTCAAACTAAATCAGCTCTTGTCGATGTTTTGCCAGCGGTTGGTGCCTGCATACCCTAGCGACGATTGCTTTTAAGGGGAGCGGGCTTTTAGGATACTTGTTTTGAATGTAATGATGAATTAAGTAATTGTAATTTTCTTGAACAATTATAATTGTCTTTAATCAATTCGTTTTAATCCTAGATATTGGTACAATTAAAATTTTAAATTTTGATCATTAAAATAACATTCAAACAAAAAATGCGGATTTTTATACTTGTTCCAGTTACCTTTACAAAAATATAAGAAGTATATTATAAAGACAATTAAAATAACACTGCGAATCATTAAAAAATAAATCAACCAAAGATCACTAAACATAACATTCAAAACAAGTATTTTAAAAGCCCGCTCCCCTTAAAAGCAATCGTCGCTAGGGTATGCAGGCACCAACCGCTGGCAAAACACCGACAAGAGCTGATTTAGTTTGAAGTTTTCTCAACCACTGAAGAGCAGTCGGTGTCTTAAGTGACACGACTGCCATATACCCTGTTCTCATCTCAGTGGACTGAGTTCTATTAATTCGAATACATACATATATGTAAAACATTTTACTGCGACAACTGATTTGAATTTGTAAACAAAAATAAAATGTATGTAAGCGCCTCTCAGCGACTGAACGACTGAACTCGTGCAATGAGTGCGCGAGCATAAAAACGAGAATAACTTTTATAGGGATGCGCCTTCATTTATAAGCTATTCTCTTCATTATATATGCCACTGGACCGAATATATTCGTAAACGAGTTAAGAGTTCTTATTGACCCAAAATTAAAATTCGACTGCCACATAAAGTCTACTGTTAACAAATCTATGAGTGTTCTTGGATCTATTAAGCGATGGTCAAAAGAATTTGAAGATCCTTATACAACTAAATTATTATTTACTTCCCTTGTCCGTCCTAATTTAAGTACAAATTGATCGAATTGAGTCGGTACAAAAAAAATGTGTTCTTATCGTCCTTCGCATATTACTTTTGCTGAATTTACCTACTCTTGTAAATCGTAGAATCCATTTTGGAACTATATTTACGCACAATCTTAACAGCTTAACTTTTAATGTGCCTTTTAGACCAACCCGCAACTACCATCCTCTTAATTTACCAAGATTTACTTCAAATTTGGCCTGCATGAACCCTTTCATGTTCTATGTAATAATTATAATAATCTATATAATCAAAGTTGCATTTCAATCTCTATCCTTATCTTAAAAACTAGAGTGTTAAAATATTCTCACCGTACTTAGATTAATTATATTTTATTAATGTCTCTACATTATGTTATTTGTGTTTTCCTAGCATAACAAGCTCGTGACTTTTTTTATTGGGCCACTTTTTTGTACTGCTTATAGTGCATCACCGTTCAACAATTTTGAGAGTAAAGTCGCAATGCATGGGTGAACTCTATTTCTGCAGGCCGAGTCCACGTAATGCGTCTTCATAATAATTCCCAATTCTTAGCTATTATAAACCCATGATATCAACGGTTCTTGATGCTTACTAGGCTCACGTGCACCTTAAAGTTTGTGATCGCATATTATATTTATTTTGTATGATTATTTTAACATAGTTAGCATTGTCCGATAAAATCGGCTTACTAAAGATATCATAAAATGGTGATATCATTCAATGTCTACGGACGGTGATCGCTTAGTTTGAGCTCCTCTGCGATCATTTTAATGGTCACATGACGATCACGATCCACTGTTTCCACGATTTTATTCGTATCAACGGTCTCTGATCGTCCCTCAAGCTTGAGTGTTTCAATAACAAAATTACCACGTTGGATTCGTCTGAACCACTGTTTACCTTTTTGAATCGATACATTGTAGTCATCTAAAACAGAAATAATCCTTTGTGAGATTCCGCAGCAATTTTTCCTCGTCCAAAAAATTCAGCGTTTTTGAACTTGGGTGCGAAAGCTGATGTAAATATACATAAACAAACTGTAAGTCATTTGACAGGTGCTGTCAAGACCTATTAAACGATATATAGAATTGCTACCTGCCGGGTTGTGCCGAAAGATCGCACATGGTGTCACCTGCTAGGGACCAAGCTATTTTGAAATTGGTTATTAGAGTGACGGGTCACTGATAGTCAAGACACTCAACTATATTATTATATTATTTCTTGTTAAAAGTATTGTTGTGCTATAAATAATCGATTGCTTACTAATTTTCTTTTATTTTTGTAAAGTCCGCATTTCATGATGCAAAAGTACCGAATTGGTATCATAAAAGTTGCTTTTTCAAACACCAACGTCCTGCCTCTGTGGGAGACATACAGAACTTTCAAAACCTTCGGTTCGTTGACCAAAATGAATTAAGTGATCTTATTGGTAAGAGAATCGAGGTTTAATCAATATACGTATTTTAAAATGTATATAACTTCCATAGGAAATATAGAGAAAAATATACATGCAAAATCGGGAACGAAGCGATCCACGGCTTATAACTTAGGACTTAAAGACTTTGGAATCGAATATGCAAAATCAAGTCGTTCGACGTGTCGTGGATGCGACCAAAAAATAATAAAGGATCAAGTCCGCCTACGGAAAACTGTTTTTGACACTGAAGTTGGTATGAAGTATGGAGGGCAGCCGCTATGGCATCATTTGGATTGCTTTGCTAAACTGCGCTCTGAACTTGGCTGGTTTGATTCAGGAGCAGCCTTGCTTGGTTATGCGAGTCTAACGAGTGATGATCAAGCGGCAGTAAAAAGCGTTCTCCCGTAAGTATATCTTACAATAACCAAAAAAAAATTTTGTTTTAATTATAAACCCCTAAGGTGTGTTAAGCTGTATAACACAATTGAACAGCGTTAAAAACAACGCTGCTTAGTTTTAATCCGCCTTGAAATGCTTTATATTCTTCTTCTCGGACGATGCTTAGGAAATCATTACACGTAATGCATTTTTTTAATTGTTACAAAAAATTGGTCAAGTTTGTACCATATACAATTATTCATAAAATGGGTTACAATCATGCGATTAAAGTCAAATATATGCGCCCTTTTGTCCGATGACTAGTTCCCACTCTGATGGAAGCTTGCTTCCTTGTTGGAAAAAAACTTCCAACTACCAAGCTCATTCGCCATGGACAGAAACAGGTGGTAATCACTATACGGTGGATGCAAAATAACCTCCCATCCGAGCTCCCGAAGCTTCTGGCCCGTCACCTTACGTTGTCCTGATGGAAGTGAATTGGACCTCTATTGATCAAAAAATGGTCTCTTCTGCATGAGCGGTCCAGTTGTTGGTAGAACATGTCCGAATTGAGCGCTATTCTCAGAGTAAATGGGTATAATGTATTCATAAATAAGTATATTTAGATTTACTGTCGCTTGTGATCATGTGTTTATCTTATGCTCTGTGATTTTTTCGAGATTTGATTATTTTCTGAAAGTACTGGTGCTTTTATCTTAACCAAGCTTAGATTACCTGCAGTGTATGTAGGTTTGACGGTGATTGGTTCAATTAAAACTCGACAATTTCGTTGAATGACATTTATTGTGAGTGGAAAAAGAAAACATTACCTCTTCGTCTTAACTTGAGGGAGCAAAAGCGAGTACTAGAGCAGGCGTGATTTGTTTAAGTAGTATCGATAATTCGATTGATTGTTGAAAATCATAAAATACTGTTATGACCTGCAAATTGCCCAATAATTACATACCAACTGCACGCAATAACTCAGATATACAAACAATATTTATTATTTCTTCGGTGCGATCCGCGCTTTAAAAGTGTATGTAAACGACTTACTCAATGAGGGACAGAATGCTCTCCACTCTCAGCACCGCTTACAGTGACAGGCTGCCACTTCCCTCCAATATTTTTCAGCTTCAAGTTCTGCTGCGCATCTGAAGGCTGATCCACGGAGATATCGGGAATTGATTCGGCTTGCGGTAGCGGTGGTGGCTGTGTTCCAAGTGAGGCACCATTTCCTTGCTCGCTGCCATCCAACTGTTGAGAAGATTTGATGTCCAAACTAGAACCCCCTGAGATCATTTTAAACTCTACACTTATTGTCTGCCATTGTCTGTTCTTAAATTTTTTGGAAACCCCAATCTACTAAAAACTGGACATCTCTTCAATGAGCACCTTGGATCCTATTGATTGTACAAATTTTACTTCTATGTATCTATAATAGTAATCGTGAGAACTAGCAAGTGCTCATTATTTGGCAACGGTCCTAACAAATCAGTGGCTACTCGGAAATGCATGACGTCTCATTGGGACTGGATTATCTGATTAAGATACCAATATACAGTCACGACAATCCTTGCCAGATTTTTCTGAATCCCAGTCAATTTTTGGCCACCATACTATTGATCTCAGTCGCCTTTTTATTTCTGCTTCTCCAGGGTGTCCCTCATGAGCTAGTGTTTAAACTTTCTGTCGTAGTTGTTGGGGGATGATCAGACGGCTTACTCTTAATAGAATACTACCAATACTCGAAAGCTCCAGGCGAAATGGATAATATGCGCTGTTGTTGCAGAAGTCCAGCAGTCATTGTCCAGGCATGTTATGTTAGAAATTCAAATCATATGGAATATGTTTTCCTATCCACCCCAATCAAATAATTTAGTACTTGAAATGTCACATAAACGTGAGATCGAGTCAGCAATATTTTCATTCCATGACTTATATATTACCTGGAAACGGTATGCCTGTAGACGTAATAACCACCTCTCAATTCTAGCTGGAGGCTTAGAAGTTGGTTTAAAAATTGCTTCCAATGGCTTATGGTCAGTTACCAAGTCGAATTCCAGACCAACAATATAGTAACGAAATTTTTTCACGCTCCATACCAATGCCAAACTTTCCCTTCCGTTCAACTTCAACATCAGAAAGGCTCTTAGTTGCAAACGATATGATAAATTGATTATTCTCGACATCAAACTGTATTAAGTCCGCTCCCAGCGCTACATCAGCTATTACACGTGTTTTTAATTTCACGTTAAAATATGCCAACTCCGAAACTCGTGAAACTCCAATTTTTAATTTGTCGAATGCTTGCTGTACTTGTTGGTTCCACAGAAATTTCTCATCCGCTTTGAGTAACTTACTCAACGGTTCTGTTGTATCTGCCAAATCTGGCAAGAACCTTCCCACGTTCGTGACCTCTTTGTTCTTTGATGGCCTGAATGCCGTAATTACTTTTACTTTCTCTGGATCAGCAAAAATGCCTATGTCAGATATAATATATGCGCGAGGAACTTAAGTAGCTGTGTTTTCCATACGCATTTATCTTTGTTAAGAAATATATTGTTTTCCTTGAAAAAATCTCCAGAGTTTTGTCGTGTTCCTCCAATGAACTCCCGATGACAATTACATAATCTATATAATTTAAGGCATTTCGCAAATCGTTCCTCCAGCAGTTTTTGAAATATATCAGTTGCTGAGTTAACACCGCAGAGTAGACGCTTGTATCTATACAGTACTTGTGGTATCAAAAATGTAGTAACTTCTCGCCTATTTGGATGCATTTCAAATTGTTGATACGCACTCATTAAATCCAGTCGAGAAAAATACTTAGCGTTCTCAAGCTTCGTTAAAAACGACTCGAATGTTGGTAATGGGTAATTTTCCCGTTGAACTGCTTTATTCGCTTGACGCATATCAATGCACAGCCTTATATTCCCATCACCTTTGAATGCGATAACTATTGGAGAAATCCATTCACTTAGTCGGTGTCTTCAATGGGGTCTGGGATGCGTCGCATTGGTTGCTTCACGGCCTCACAAGTGGATCAATTGACAGACGAATAGATTACATTATTCACTTTGGAAAAGGTTCCAACTAGAACCCCCTGAGATCATTTTAAACTCTACACTTATTGTCTGCCATTGTCTGTTCTTAAATTTTTTGGAAACCCCAATCTACTAAAAATTTCGGACATCTCTTCAATGAGCACCTTGGATCCTATTGATTGTACAAATTTTACTTCTATGTATCTATAATAGTAATCGTGAGAACTAGCAAGTGCTCATTATTTGGCAATGGTCCTAACAAATCAGTGGCTACTCGGAAATGCATGACGTCTCATTGGGACTGGATTATCTGGTAAGGATACCAATATACAGTCACGACAATCCTTGCCAGATTTTTCTGAATCCCAGTCAATTTTTGGCCACCATACTATTGATCTCAGTCGCCTTTTTATTTCTGCTTCTCCAGGGTGTCCCTCATGAGCTAGTGTTAAAACTTTCTGACGTAGTTGTTGGGGGATGATCAGACGGCTTACTCTTAATAGAATACTACCAATACTTGAAAGCTCCAGACGAAATGGATAATATGCGCTGTTGTTGCAGAAGTCCAGCAGTCTTTGTCCAGGCATGTTATGTTAGAAATTGAAATCATATGGAATATGTTTTCCTATCCACCCCAATCAAATAATTTAGTACTTGAAATGTCATATAAGCGTGAGATCGAGTCAGCAATATTTTCATTCCCAGACTTATATATTACCAGGAAACGGTATGCCTGTAGACGTAATAACCACCTCTCAATTCTAGCTGGAGGCTTAGAAGTTGGTTTAAAAATTGTTTCCAGTGGCTTATGGTCAGTTACCAAGTCGAATTCCAGACCAACAATATAGTAACGAAATTTTTTCACGCTCCACACCAATGCCAAACTTTCCCTTCCGTTCAACTTCAACATCAGAAAGGCTCTTAGTTGCAAACGATATGATAAATTGATTATTCTCGACATCAAACTGTATTAAGTCCGCTCCCAGCGCTACAGGACTGGCATCAGCTATTACACGTGTTTTTAATTTCACGTTAAAATATGCCAACTCCGAAACTCGTGAAACTCCAATTTTTAATTTGTCGAAAGCTTGCTGTACTTGTTGGTTCCACAGAAATTTCTCATCCGCTTTGAGTAACTTACTCAACGGTTCTGTTGTATCTACCAAATCTGGCAAGAACCTTCCCACGTTCGTGACCTCTTTGTTCTTTGATGGCCTGAATGCCGTAATTACTTTTACTTTCTCTGGATCAGCAAAAATGCCTATGTCAGATATAATATAAGCGCGAGGATCTTAATTCGCTGTGTTTTCCATACGCATTTATCTTTGTTGAGAAATATATTGTTTTCCTTGAAAATAACTTTTACCATCTCCAGATTTTGGTCGCGTTCCTCCAATGAACTCCCGATGACAATTACATAATCTATATAATTTAAGGCATTTCGCAAATCGTTCCTCCAGCAGTTTTTGAAATATCTCAGTTGCTGAGTTAACACCGCAGAGTAGACGCTTGTATCTATACAGTACTTGTGGTATCAAAAATGTAGTAACTTCTCGCCTATTTGGATGCATTTCAAATTGTTGATACGCACTCATTAAATCCAGTCGAGAAAAATACTTAGCGTTCTCAAGCTTCGTTAAAAACGACTCGAATGTTGGTAATGGGTAATTTTCCCGTTGAACTGCTTTATTCGCTTGACGCATATCAATGCACATCCTTATATCCCCATCACCTTTGAATGCGATAACTATTGGAGAAATCCATTCACTTAGTCGGTGTCTTCAATGGGGTCTGGGATGCGTCGCATTGGTTGCTTCACGGCCTCACAAGTGGATCAATTGACAGACGAATAGATTACATTATTCACTTTGGAAAAGGTTCCAACTTTTCGACTCTATAGCTATGCCCAGTCTCATCACGTTGAGTTTTATGGCTGTTTCGCGACCAAGCAACGATTGCTTACCCTTTTTTATTACATA